GTTAATACATTTCCATGTACATGTACATCACTTTTCTGGTTACAATCCTGTCAATGTTTATTACTTTTATTAGATTTTTGTATTTGATTGATTATTTACGAACAGCTAATAAGTACTATTCATTTCATACAACGATATTTATATGTACAAGAAGAGAAAATATTGGTTGGTAAATTGGGCGGATAATAGCATATGTGCTAGTCGACCCTAACGCCTTATGCACAGCTCAACAATGTATTTTGTACAAGTAAATTTCAAAAAACAAAACAAAAACAAAGAAATTAATGTACTATTGCAATCAATACTATACAAATATATAACTTTAACAATGTCTTACAAAATACGAAATATAATTGTTGTACACATACAGACTATTTGCATGGATTTCTATTCATGATTTGTTCAATTAATGTGTTGTAAACGGAATCTGACATTAATAGGTGATCAAGTAACTAACCACAAGAGACAATGGAAATCGACCATGTGTCGTTCTAAATTTTGGCAGACGTAATTGTTAACCTTCTGTTTGCCTTGTGGAGTAACTATAATCTCTATATATATATACGCTATACACTATATATCAACATATGAGACAAACTTTTATTAAACAGATCAAAAATGAAAGTAGTTGAGCTGTATGAGTAATTCACTCTCTAAAAAAAAAGAAGCACGAACTGCTATTTTCTGTGAATACAATATGCTTCTTAATAGGCTAACCTTATATTGCTTCTCCACACCTGTGTGGTTTTATCCACGTTTTATATGATAATGGATACTGTCAAAGTACGCCTAGGAACAAAATGTCGCAATCCTGATACACTGATTTACATAACGAATATGACTATTCCATGGCAGATTTCTATCATAAGTGGTAACATCAATCGCTTGGATTTCCTCTCCAGCTATTTTCAGTTTACCCTTTATACTTATTTTTTACAATTTTCCATGTGTTGTTCATTACTTCATCCACATTAATGTCGCCCTGGTGAGCTGTAAAAGTATGAATTATATTAGAATCATCGGCAAACAGCCGCAAATTGAAATAATCAGTTACTGATGGCAGTCTTGGCATATCATTCACAGAGATAAAAACAGAGTTGGCCCTAGTACTGATCATTGTGGAACACCATATATCATCTTTTTCCTAATTGATCACGTTTGACCCCTTTAAACAATCTGAATCTTTATTAAGATAGTCCTTAAACCATACAAGAGCTTAAACTCGAATGCCATAAATAAAGGTTTTAGCTAGCAGTATATTAAGATTAATGGTCTCAAAATTGCTTTCTTAAAATCGAAGAATATGTCAAGAGTGAATCTCACTTCTTCGTTCCTGTAAAAGCAAGCAATGTAATAATCTTGATGCAGCGAAGCATATTACAAGAGGGTAAACGTTTACCCAATACTGGGTATAATTTACTTAAAATTGAATAAGGTTTACGCAATATTGGGAAGTAATAATTTACAAAAAAAACATTTCTTTAACCAATGTTTGGTCAATTTTATAGGCCCAAATTGTTCTCATATTTTAATCCTACGCTGGATTTACACTTTTGTCAAAAAAATGGTTTAAAAAAGAATATTGGTCATAGATCTAAGTTTTCCTTCAAACAAGATTTTAGACCCTGGATAGGACTTAAATGAGTTGGGAGAATACGGACCTTATAGTATACCTTTATTATGTTTCGAGCAAATCTAATGATTTGGTTTGTTAAAACCAAATGACAGGTAATTGGTAGATTACAACAACCACATAGTGCTATGTTCATAGGTTGTATGAATAACGAGCAATAGACCATGGATTAAAGGGTGATATGGAACAGATCGAGTATGTTCCCTAATCACTGATGTCTGTGTCATCATCTTCAATTTGATCCTTCCGAGGATCAGCTGACTTTGTTCTCTCAAACACATAGTTCTCGCAGAGCTCTTGGCAATCCCCACGATTCATGCGTTCGAACGCCTTGGCCAAGTCCCCAAGGTTCTGAATCTTCTTTTGACTCTCAGCAAGTACGAGTAGTTCTTTAGTCGGATTCTCGCACTGCTCCAGATGTTTTATGTATTCGTCAAGTTCAAGCTGATTGGCAAGACCCCTCCAGTCATCAAACACTGGGCTTTCTCTGTTCAACCGGCAACGCAGCTCATGCTGTAGCATAGGAGGTACTATGGAATTAATTGCAACAGGGGCAGGGGCAGCAATATTTCCATGAGGATTATTCACTTGGGAATTGTTGATGACTTTGATATTGTTGACGTTGATATAGACGTTCCTAGAACGCTGGTGCCTATTTCGAATTCCTGAAAGTTCTGGAACGAATTCTTGGACAACGTTTTCCACAAATGCTGGTCGGTCTAAGACTCCCACTTTCCCCTCTGCTGCAGAATCTAATGAATGGACGGGCTCTGTCGATGATGTCGGAGCTTAAAACAAAACGAACAAAAAGATAATATGACGTAAATCAATTACAATGTTTAAATTTCCGTAGAGCATGTAAAGAAAATAAGCGTATATCACAATATATGCGCTACTAAAGGGCTTTAGATATTATTACCCCGATTATGTTCCAGCAACCGTTACAGGTAACCCGCCAACTTATTGCACATTGGTCGAATGTAGCATTTATAGATTCATGTTTTGGCAAAGGATGTTCGTTCGTTACTATCTGTAACATGCAATTAAATGTCGGTAACTATTCAACTTAAAGTTATGATTGATTGAGGAGATAAAATTAATTTTTGGGAGATACAATTGACTTTTTGTTTGTTACAGAGCCAGAACACGACTTTGTCTTTTAACTCCTTACCGATTGCTGCTGTCTCTGTTACCAAATCATGTGTGGCTTGGTAGGCATGTTCACATGACGGTGACTCTATCGATGGCGAAGTCAACGACACAGGTCGTGTTAAGACATCAGTATGACTACTTCCGTCTGAAATAAAGCAACGTAAAAAAGGTTTTAGAAAATGATTAAACCAGACTCCGACCTGTGCTGTAAAGAAGTCTGACTGATCCGTTATCATCTCAAGTCGACCCTTGAATTATAATGTATTAGTTTGGTTCATTGACATCGTTGAGATAAAATGATGGAACATGAAGTGAAGAAATGAAATTGGTCAATTAACAGAGTAAAAATTATACGGTATAAAAATACATTGATAATACATCAAAGGATATTTAAAACAAAGGCCAATTACAAGAATATAGGCCGCAGTAGCGGTTCTAATGCCCCTCCCCCCTTCTCCCAAAAGAAGCACATGTAGAACAAAATGCTAGATGACCCCACCCCCTGCTACCCCCCTCTTGCCCCTCCCCCCAAAAAAACAAAAAACAAACAACAACAACAACATATACATACACATGTATTCCTCCAGAACCGCTCCTGATAGGTCATAGTCTTACCCTTTGTGTCTGCAGGCTCAGGTGATGTTGAACCTATCGGTCCAAGATCATGCTCGCTTCTTGTCTGCTCTTCGGAGAGCTGAGGTGCTGATGATGCAATAATCAATCAAAATCAAATCAGAATGGAAACAGAAAAGCACAAATACATGGTTATTTGTTCGATTTCGTTTCAATCGTCTCTTTACAATAAGGAAATTGTTTCATATAACAAGCTCGCCGAAATTCCATTGAATGCGTGTTATTTTACATTCCTGTTTCATTTGTACCCATGACGGTTTAGTGAAACGATGCCCTGCATATCAAAAGGTTGGTGTATGAAAAAAAGAGAAAACTAGTATTAATATTTGTTTTAAAATCTTACATTTGGATGATCTCCGTCCAACATCAGTTGGTTCAGCTTTGCCTTTGGACGATGCAGATCCTGTCGGAGTTGATTGGGGAACTGGATTCTCACGCAGCACATCTAAATTGTGAATACATGAAATCAAAGTGATGAGAAGCGATTAGCCTAAAATGATACTTTTTCGAAATAGGAGTAACTTGTCATGGTTCTTTTGCTACCCTAAATGAAATATTTAGCATTGCACGTAAACAAATTGTACATTTAACATATATATATATATACCTACAGACTGGACCAGTATAAACGCACTAGCATACTTCCAATGATGTGGGGTGAAATTCACTGGTACCAGCGGTGTAGAATCTGTTCACATGAAAAATAGTGCCAGGATCGACAAAACTGGTAGAAAGTTATTTTTTTTTGTTTTGGGGAGCATTTCGTTCAGTTTCAATAAAAATGCGTTAAAAATTTGTGTAAACTCACGTCTTTCTCAATACACAAGTTATTATATATTATCTCAAATGAAAGAAAAAATGTTATTGGAGTGTTATGTTTGGGTTTAATCTGAAGATATGTTACAGCTTGTCCGACGCTCAGGCAAATAATTTTTCCTGAAACTGTACAAGAATACTATTTCTCTGCCAGCACTGCCAGTGGAAGTCGTTAAGCCACCCCCTCCCTCCCCATCCCCTCCCCTGAAAAGAATTCATGCGCTTGATATTACCGTTGTACTGTACTGGGAAGGTGATCTTCTTCGTGATTTTTTGCTTCAAGATGAGAGTGACGAGAACTCTGGATACTACTTGTTCACGTGGCTGAAGATTGAACGGCATGCGATGGGTCGTCATGTCAAAGAAAGCACATTCTTCAAGTTCCTACGAAAATCAGAGATAACCATCAATTAATACCCTACGAAGTTATAAGGAACGGTACCATTTTCGTAATTTAAAAGTTATACCATGAATTATCACCCATGTTTGAATCGAGTTTCCTTAAATTATATTATAATGAGATGATGTTGTGCAATGAACAGTACGATAAGGCAGAAAGTTCATCAGTTCGGTATCGCTTTAAGAAAACTCTATATCATTTGTAATGTAAAAAACATATTATTAGGACCTGCAGAATAGTTAACGGACGATTTATGTGTCAGGATAATTTACTTCGGGGAAAGTAAACTCGGGAAGGTTACAATTGGGCTATTGCCCTCGGCACGCCTCGGGCAATAGCACAATTCTTACCTTCCCTTGAGCGTATAAAAACAACTATTTCTCTCAAAGCAGTCATCAATACTATAATAACTATATTGGGATTGTTACCTCCTTTGACACTTCCTCTTTGTTTTCCAGATGTCTTACAGAAAGGGGTCCTTTTCCCCAATATACACAGTACTGCTCACCAAGAAAGGCTACCTGGTAGTCTCGTATGGTATCCTATAAAGACAATAATAGTAATAAGAGCATACTAATAATAGTTGCAATAATTGCAATAATGCCGCTCTTCCAGAGGGCACTGCAGCAAATGAAGGTACTCAAATACACTGAATATTTACTTCAAGATGTGAAACGTTTATCGGGTTTGAATATTATATCTGTGATTTGTTTTATATTTTTTGTGACCACCCCGTCCCCTCCCCCCCCCCCCCCCCACCCCTACCCCTCCGTGTACGCACCTAACTACTCAGAAAACGTTACACACAAACATTGACATCGTAACCACAAAAAGACCGGAGACACAAATACAATTTATTTAAATTAAATAAATATTGAAATAGACTTCAAATTCTTTTTCAGCTAAAATTATGCCGAACCGTTAATTTAGGATAAATATACCTCTTTCATGCCGTAGAAGTCGTCTTTAATGACGAGATAGATGCGGTTCAACTCGTCTCTGTATGTTGATAGGGGAACGTATGGCGTACAGATGAGCCTTTTACCGATGAAGTATCTCCTGATTAAGGAGATAATCCACCATTCCGAGAAATGGTCTAAGTACAGAGTAAGGTGATTCTTTGCGACTACACACCGAGCAGCTTTGTCAGAAGCAGGAACTATCCTTGAAAATTCATCAGACTCTGTAAAGAAGACAAAAAATAGGGGACCCTGTTAATTTTGTTACGCAGTGAACTGTCATACTTTGGGATTTACTTTCACAAATAAAGAAAGCAAATATTCTTTTTCTGCAAGTTTTGCGGGTTTATTGGGGAGCCTTGTTGGAGGGTCATTGTTTACTCATGATCAATGACGTAAAAACATGTCAATTGCTTTTTGGTGATTGGCTATTAAAAATGTTTTATGCATTCAATCATTCTCATAATTCCTTTCGATCTTTCCACAAGAATCTTGAAAATGGCGGCTGTATGAACTGTGCGACTTATAAGTCATTCAAACACAAAGACTGAAACATTTTTATTTTAAGCGAACTTCCATCCTAATAGAAGATTATCAAGTAAAACTCATTGAATTAGAACATTCTGAGAGGAACATCAACATTGAAGTGAGGTCATTATGATACCAAGAATAGTAAGGGAGTATTAATTTTGTGTGAAGATCTCTGTCATAATTGATATGTGTTTGTCGTGGCAGTCAGGGGCTATCTGCACTGCCACAACATATTTTCCCCTTTCGTTTTTCTTTTGTTTGACCAAAGAACATTAACTGATTGAATACACTTTAATTTAATCAGTCAACGCTAATATGTTTGAATACAATGAGAAAGTACTCTAGATCAATTCATCACGATACCTCTCACACTTTGAAAGTTCAGGTCAAAGCTTGATTGCCGATAATAATCAGTGGTAGGTATGGACCTGTTACAGAGACCGCACTGTGCGCAAAGTTTTTCATTGAAATTTGCTTCACCGGATTACAAGACCACTGATCTACCGACTGAGCTATCGCGCCTCATTATTCAAAACGGACATCAAATTTGAAACAGTTACTGTAAAAATGCTTATTTTCTTTTCAAACACGAGCAGAAAGACCTTCGAGAAATGAGCTCAAAGGAAATTTCAATAATCTACAATATAAGACGAGTCTAAGAAACCTATATTCACTCGGCTATGCTATTTTTGTGAAGCAGCTATATAAGTCTTGTGCAGCATTCTTGATCCACGTATATCTCGATATGTTCAAAGTTCAGACGCGGTGTAATGCACGTAATAACATATGGCATGATAATGGGAACGTACCGTGGTATGTTCCTTTGCCGGGTACCCATAAAACACTTTGGTGGAGAGTGGCAAATTCATATTTATGTCTTGCCTGAGTGCCGCGCGAACATGAATTATGTGATCTGCAGGCCGGTTAAGTATCCACGAGACCACCACATCTCAACAGTTTTGATACAAAAAAAGAAGGCAACTTTTAGCAAAAGCTTGTCTCGTGTAAATCGAGATGCCTTCAATTCAATATAAATCTAAGAGCGAATCAAAGAAGATTAGACAAAGAGAGGGAAATAAAAGGAACGGAAGGGAAAGGAATTTATATGGAGATATGGGATCTATGGTAATAGGAAGATCTTACCAGTTCTTCGGGTGTATAGCACAATTTCTGCCTTGTCTGGGTTGGTGAAAATAGCGCTATGTGAGACCGTGACTTCCACCGGAGTTTTAAACTGAAGACCAGGAGGGGATAGCTTGAGCCCAACTGAGATGATAACTTCGTCTTTTTCCAGGTTTAAGTCATGTGGAATGGTTGTCAATGCTTCTGCTGTGATATATTTGGCTCTGTCCACATCGTCTGGTGAAAGTGTAACCTTGATGCTGTACTCGTCAAGACTAATAATCATTGTCTCTTCTGTGCTGCTCTTCCTCGAGGATCGAGAGCTGTCTTGTGGACTGGTACGATATGGATCGCATGTTCGGGAGGATGGGGGCATATAGCCAGGGAAAGCCTTACTACCAAAAGTACTGCGAAGGTAGTCATAGTGGTCCTCTTCAAACCCAATGAATGGCTTAACGATCTTTGTTGCTTCTCTATTTAAAAGAAAGTCATGTATACCCAGATGGCCGCCATTAAGAGCAAGGCCTGAAGGTGTCCAGTAATCATCAGTAAGTTTCCCCGGGTCTGCACCCTTACTAACGAGGTATTTGACAATATCAAGATGACCATTGAGTGATGCTATGTGAAGAACTGTAAACCCATCTTTATCACCGATTCCAATGCTTGCTCCTTTGTTCACGATATACACGACGACTTCAAGATGGCCTTCTTGAGAAGCACAAGCCAAGGGTGTTCTGTAGTTTTTGTCACATATGTCAAGCCGGGCCCCTTTCTTAACAAGGTATTTGACAATATCAAGATGACCCTTGAATGATGCTATGTGAAGAGCAGTTAACCCATTTTGATCAACGATATCAATGCCTGCTCCTTTGTTCACGATATACTCGACGACTTCAAGATGGCCTTCTTGAGAAGCACAAGACAAGGGTGTCCTGCCGGTTTTGTCACATTTGTCAAGCTGTGCCCCTTTCCTAACAAGGTATTTGACAATATCAAGATGACCCTTGAATGATGCAATGTGAAGAGCAGTAAACCCATACTTATCACCAATTTCAATGCCTGCTCCTTTGTCCACGATATACTCCACGACTTCAAGATAGCCTTCCTGAGAAGCACAAAACAAGGGTGACCTGTCGTTTTTGTCACATTTGTCAAGCTGTGCCCCTTTCCTAACAAGGTATTTGACAATGTCAAGATGACCCTCCAATGATGCTCTGTGAAGAGCCGTAAACCCATCTTTGTCGCCAATTTCAATGCCGGCGTCTTTGTTCACGATATACTCGACGACTTCAAGATGGCCTTCTCGAGAAGCACAATACAAGGGCGTCTTGTCAGTTTTGTCACATTTGTCAAGCTGTGCCCCTTTGCTAACAAGATGATGAACTATTTCAACGTGTCCATTGGACGATGCAATGTGGAGTGCTGTTAACCCGTCTCGATTACAGTTATCAATATTTGCTCCTACGTTCAGTAAGACCTCGACAATACCCAAATGGCCTCTTTCTGCTGCGAGAAACAAGGGTGTCATCCCGTTCCTGGGTTCATTGTCAATCTCTACCCCTCCGTTAACAAGAACTTTGACAATATCAAGGTGTCCCCAAAATGAAGCCAAACTAAGTGCGGTCCATCCATCGTCAGTGCTTTTATCCAGCTCTGCTCTTTGACTGGTTAGATATTTTACTCTATCAATATTACCAGCTTTTGATGCAGAATGAAGAGCTGTATATCCACCTTTACCACACGTGTTAATGTTGGCTCCTTCTGTCAAAAGGTACTCTGCAATGTCAAGATGGCCACCGTCTAAAGCAAGGTGTAAAGGTGTCCAGTAATCATTATCAAGTCTCTCCAGCTCTGCCCCTTTACTAACAAGGTATTTGACAATATCAAGATGACCCTCGAGTGATGCTATGTGAAGAGCTTTATCACCAATGCCAATGCCTGCTCCTTTGTACAAGATATACTCGACGACTTCAAGATGGCCTTTTTGAGAAGCACAAGACAAGGGTGTCCTGCTGTTTTTGTCACATTTGTCAAGCTGTGCCCCTTTCCTAACAAGGTATTTGACAATATCAAGATGACCCTTGAATGATGCTATGTGCAGAGCTGTAACCCCATCTTTATCACCAATTTCAACGCCTGCTCCTTTGTCCACGATATACTCGACGACTTCAAGATGGCCTTCTTGAGAAGCACAAGACAAGGGTGTCCTGCTGTTTTTGTCACATTTGTCAAGCTGTGCCCCTTTCCTAACAAGGTATTTGACAATATCAAGATGACCCTTGAATGATGCTATGTGAAGAGCAGTTAATCCATTTTTATCAACGATATCAATGCCTGCTCCTTTGTTAACGATACACTCGACGACTTCAAGATGGCCTTTTTGAGAAGCACAAGACAAGGGTGTCATGTTGGTGTTGTCACATTTTTCAGGCTGTGCACCTTTGCTAACAAGATGATGAACTATTTCAACGTGTCCATTGGACGATGCGATGTGGAGTGCTGTTTGCCCGTTTCGATTACAGTTATCAATATTTGCTCCTACGTTCAGTAAGACTTCGACAATACCCAAATGGCCTTTTTTTGTTGCCAGAAACAAGGGTGTCATCCCGTTCCTGAGTGCTTTGTCAACCTCTACCCCTACGTTAACGAGAACTTTGACAATGTCAAGGTGTCCCCTAAATGAAGCCAGACTCAGCGCGGTCCAACCATCCTCAGTGATCTTATTTTGCTCTGCTCCTCGACTAGTTAGATATTTCACTCCATCAATATTACCAGTTTGTGATGCAGCATGTAGAGCTGTACATCCACCTTTACCACACGTGTTAATGTTGGCTCCTTCTGTCAAAAGGTACTCTGCAATGTCAAGATGGCCACCGTTTAATGCAAGGTGTAGAGGTGTCCAATAATCATTAGCAAGTCTCTCCAGCTCTGCCCCTTTACTAACAAGGTATTTGACAATGTCAACATGACCCTCGAATGATGCTATGTGAAGAGCTGTAAACCCATCTTTGTCGCCAATTTTAATATCTGCTCCTTCGTTCACTAACAGCTCTACCACATGAAGATGGCCTTTCTTTGAACATAAGTGAACCGATGTCTGTAGGTTAGCATCGATTACATTCACCTTTGCTCCATGATTGGTTAGGCATTTAACCGTTTGCAAATGTCCGTTTGCCGAAGCAATGTGAAGGGGTGTCTTGCCAGATGCATCCGAGCAGTTTACATCAACTCCTCTCGAATCCTCGGACTTGTCTTCTGAGTCGATTAATGATTGTATCTTCTGGACGTCTCCTTTTGCCGCTGTAGAAAACAGCGCCATGTTAAACGTAATTCACACCCACTACGTTTTGCACATCATGATATTACCGTGCTCTTCAAACATCAAGTTACGTATTGTCATGTGACATTGAAATACTGTGTAAATTGGCCCGTACCCTTTAGTAGCGTTTTCTATTCTGTAGGAGCAATCAAGCGTGATTATATGAAAACATTTCATAAATTGGACTTTGCACTCATATCCCTATTGGCTTCAGAAGTCTGACTACATTACTGTACAGTGTATTACAACAAAACAGACCAATTGCCAAAATATACTTGGTTTCCGATTTGCGGAAAAAAGAAAAAGAGAGAAAGACGAAAGGGAGAAAGAAAGAGAAAAAATACGGTCTCTATCATCGCTTTTCTTGAACACTCTATAGTTTGTGAAATGCTGTAACCTGTTGATGTAGAGTACTCGCTTCATTTCTCTAGAATTGGCAGGATATAAACCAAATTTGTCAGTATATTTTCATCAATTAGGCATTATAAACTGCTAACAAGGTGCTTACTATTCGTCTCTCTTCATGTAAATATGCACTTCATACCCGAGCCCTTCGCTCAAAATTCATGCATTTGCAATATTCTCATATTTAATACATTCTCAGAACTTTGTTAGTGAAGAAGATAAACTAACATCCTCTTTTTTGAAAATGAGTTCTTAAAATGAAATAGAGAAATTTAAATTCACGGATTGTTCAACTAACAGAAGATGCCAGACCGACAAAAGACCGGACACACTAATATATTGCCCCGAATCGCAGAGAATCGGTCGGTTTGAAGTCGGTTTGGAGGTATGATTAATACCCCAGTCACACTGGCACACCGGCTTCGTACCGGCCCCAACGAGTTCAAACTGACTTATTGTTGGCCTCTGTGGATAATGTAATCGGTGCTCTGCTCTGGTCTGGGTGCACGTGGATGTCTTTGTATTTGATTTGTTGTAGTACGTATTACAAGATAAGGTTCACTTCTATATTTCTTCGAGGATCTTTTTCGGTGGACTACAACTACTTTAATATCACCTTTATTTTGTATTATATTAATAAGACAATGTAATGATTTGTTATTGTTGTGCCACTGTCCTCCAAAGTGTTCAGAATATATTGTTGTTATAGTGATGGATTTTAACAATTTATCCTTTCTTGTACTTTTCTGTTCTTAAATGAAAAAGGAATCAGGGAAAAAAAAACGAAAGATCCCATATATTTTCTGAGTGCAAGGAAAAATATTCTGATAACGAAGATATATATATATTTGGTTCGAAGTTGTTATTTTAGTCATGATCATGATTTCAGATCAAATCGGGAGATACATTCCAATGAAAGATATTCAACAAGGTTTAGAAATTATGAAACATTGTAATGTATATTTTCCAGTAAGAGGAAAGTGGTTACAGAGACTAAAGATTCTGCTTGAATTTAAAAGGGATTTGGATAATACGGGTAGGGGAAATAAGATAATTATGATAGGAGGATCGGTTTCATTGGTAGGACTGAGATATAAGGTTAGATAGGGTTGGTCACACATAAACATCAACAATTAAATCGGTCTGTGTAGAATAAAGTGTAGACCAGTTCGTAATTAGCACATGGTTCAAATCACCTCAAACATCCTCAGATATTTTAACTTTTGTACAAAGTAACCTAAATTTGTCCATGTCAAATTGTATGTACAAACTGGAGTACTGGATCCAAGAAAGTCGTTACTGAAGGTTAATTTATGGGTTGAAATAACCTTAAAATACCCTTTTTTCAGTAATCTGAAAGTCAGAAGTTTTCAGAATATCACCCCCAATATATATTGCTTGATTGTATGAAATATATATATGTTGTAAGTAAATTGCCCCTCAGAATGGTCAAAACCTGTGGCGCTCAAAGTTTAAAATCATTGCCAAGAATCGGGTAATTCTCTAAAAACAACCAGCAATTACCTACATGCAATTTAATTCTAAGAGCGTTCACTTTGTTGTCAAATACACACACGCATGATACATGTAATAATCTCAGCGATTTATTCTTTATCTGCCAAAATTATTTGTGTATGAAACCCTTGACTGATGAAGCAATGAGAGCTCTACAGAGTGAGTCAGAAAAAAAATGTCCCACTTTTTAAAAGTTGTATTGTTTGAAGTATGAATATTTAATCGTGGATTTCATAATATGTCTTGATAGAGTTATTCTCCCAGTACATTTAGGTACCATTTTCATTTGAATCTCTGCATGCATGATTGAACATCAGACATTCTTTACAAGACTGCCATATCTCACTTGCGCCAAGTAGCTAGGTGAGGAATAAAATAATGTTTTGAACACATACTGCCAGACAAACAAGGCCCACCCAAACTGTTACTTTTTGTCGGGAATTCTTCTTCTCGTACGAAAAGTTGAGTGGCCGCTGTCCTCTTGGTGCGTATTGGCGGATGTTGTGCTTTATGATGACGATGATGATGATGAAGATTAAGATGATGACAATGATGATGATGATGACATGATGGTGGTAGTGAATTTGTACTAAAGGGAAATATTGTCAGGGCTATGCCACTCAAACATTCAGCGATCTTGATAAAAAAAAATCATTGCTTAATCAGAAAAGGGGAAATTATGAAACACTTGTCACGGTGTGTGTTGTGTGTGCGTGTTTGCGTGTGCGTGCATGCATGTGTGTTTGCGTGTGCGTGTGTGTTTGCGCTTGTGTGTGTGTGTCTGTCTGACTGTCTTTGTTCAATGCACTGTTTTATTCCTCACCCAGTAACTTGGTGCAAGTGAGATCTGGCAGTCTTGTAAAGATTGTCTGATGTTCAGTCATGCATGCCGAGATTCAAATGAAAATAGTACCTAAATGTACTAGGAGGATAAATCTATCAAGACATATCATGAAACCCATGATTAAATATTCATACTTCAAACATTACAACTTTTAAAAAGTGGGACATTTTTTCTGACTCACTCTGTATAGGACCGCGTTCCAGTCAATGCCCTTTTTGAATGACTGGTATTCTAACGTCATTGGGTGTGCAAATATGTAATTTTTTTCAAACTGAGATTCTCGCAATATTTTCAATTTAATTCGATTCAATTTATTTCAGACACAAATAAAAACACATATCATATAAAATATATAATATAATATGCTATCCATAATAAATTGTATGTAGGAATGCCCCATGGAAGAAGGCACTAAAGAGGAAATTAGAAAATACTGATATTTTGTACACAAAAAACGAAAAAATTGTCCACGAATACATCACAATCCATTGACCCAATTGCCAATTTGAGATTTGCATATAGATTTAGAGATATCATTTTGCAAACATTCATAACTGCTTTATTATTTGACCGATTCATTCAAACGTTTGCAATCATGAGTTTCTTATTTTTCTGCTTTCACACAAAAGTAATGAACTTATATATAACAAAGGATCGCCTATCATACCTATCTATGACGAATATCATCATGATATACATAAAGGTTCAATTAATCCAATGCTATTAAAAATATATATGTACATAAAGTATACATCAACAGTTTGATAAGTATGAAGAAGAATAAACGTCGAATAAAGGTAACATAACAGACAAACCCCTTTGTAATAAACGTTTGAATGAGAAGGGTCTCACTGTCAGGAAAGAAATTTATTTGTTTAGCTCTCTGGTCTGGAGTGTTCTTTGTTAAGGTCAGGTGAAGATGTTAAGATCAGATGTTTTCTTTTCAGGCCAAGATGTATTGTTCCTTATGAATAGGCATGGGGAAGTCATTAATTCAGTGTACATGTTTTATCTGTTGTTTGACACACATTTAGGAAGCCTCTTTAGAAGACAAGTATTTCCTTTTGTAAGAGGATTTCCTCTCCAAATATTTGTAGTCATGTTTTTAGAATTTACTTAGTAACCGTAGGGTATATTAAGAGGTGGATTTTCTGCAATCGAGGAGAACCACCTATTAAGCTATGATAGACTGAACGTCATGTTAGAAGTCGGCAATTAAAGTCAATATCTGAGGGTAATTCTACGTCGGGACGAGAGGCTAGCTCAACTGCCATCCGGTTCTCCATAGCTTTCGTCGGGGGCTAGCTCTTGTCTGGGATCGGGACGCACACCATCGTATCTCAGTCTGCGGAGGTCAAGAATCCGGGGCGACTATCGGGGCCAAGTGGAGCAAAGACGCCGTTTGCGGAGGCCAGGGCCAAGTGGACGAGACGAGCTGTGACCGGCATCGATGCCAGACGGGAAACTACCCATCCAGAATTATTTTGTTAAAGATAAGTTTAATTACCTACTGTATTTTTACTTGAACAAAATGTTCAATTTAACACCTCTGGTTCCTTCTAGATACATTCAAATATTGAATTCATTTATTTTGATGTAATTTGAGTTCATGTTAATAATTTCCATGTACATGTACATCACTTTTCTGGTTACAATCATGTCAATGTTTATTATTTTTTTTCATTAGATTTTTGTATTAATTGATTTATTTACAAACAGCAAATAAGGACTATTCACTTCATGCAACGATATTCATATGTACAAGAAGAGAAAATATTGGTTGGTAAATTGGGCGGATAATAGCATATGTGCTAGTCGACCCTAACGCCTTATGCACAGCTCAATAATGTATTTTGTACAAGTAACTTTCAGAAAGCTAAACAAAAACAAAGAAATTAATGTACTATTGCAATCAATACTATAAAAATATATAACTTTAACCATGTCTTACAAAATACGAAATATAATTGTTGTACACATACAGATTATTTGCATGGATTTTCGATTCATGATTTGTTCAACAAATGTGTTGTAACATAATCTGACATTAATAGGTAATCAAGTAACTAACCACAAGAGACAATGGAAATAGACCATGTGTCGTTCTAAATTTTGGCAGACGTAATTGTTAACCTTCTGTTTGCCTTGTGGAGTAACTATACTCTATATATATATATATATATATATATATATATATATACTTTATACACTATATATCAACATATTGGACAAACTT